AATGAATGCAAGAAAATAACATCAGATACATTAAGAAACGTTAATGAGTCATTAATTTCTCGATTCAGAAAGTGTTCTGATGCAAATGGTCCACATTGAACCTTTTTTGTAAATAATATGAAAGAGCATCAGATGATGCAATAAAAAATATATGATTCCATTTAAAAAAACATTAATGACCTTCATATGTCCTTGATACGTTCACCTAAAAATAAAAAAAAGTACCATCAGTATGAACCCCTTTTAAAGCCATTCAACTCCATGTTAAACATTGTCTGCTACGCGTAATAATGATAACGTAAATCTAGATGGTAAAATGTGATGACCCACCCTGTATATTTGTTAAAATTTTTTACGATACGTAATGTAAATGTAAATGTATGTGTGATCTCAAGTTGACCTCCATTAACAGTAGGCTGATCTTTGAATGAGCAAAAGGCTGGGTCAGGAATATGGTTATAGGTACTACCAAATAGTTCAGTAAGACCCTTGACTCGACAAATGGCTCCTTGAATTAATGAAGGAACGAACATATCCGTTCGTACATATACTTATATAGTATATACATATATACACTTATATATTGTACGATAAGGTTACCATATTAAGCCTCAAAACCCGCAAACGGAAACAGAAGAAAGAATCTTTTGTCAATCATGCACACTACGTTCAAATAAACGAACTTTGGTTTCTTTTTTTATTATTTTCTTCTATACAAATCATTTTTTGTACATTTTTTTTTTGTTATTTGTATATAAAATACAATAAGAAAATATCGATATTATATTAATTTTGTATTTAATTTCATTATTAAATTATTATTTTTAAATACTTTGAGTGCTATGAACGCATATATGCGTTTGATAAAAATTACCAACCTTATCGTTCGAAGCATATACACGTTTGTTAATATAATAATTTAATATTTATATTAAAATCAATGAAAAATTATATTCAAAAAGAAAACCTTTAATTATTAAATATAATTTATTATTAGAATTTGATTAATAATAAATTATTTTGTTTCTAACCTAAAAAACATTTTAGTTTAAAGTATTCATCACTCAAAGGGTTAATACTTATAATGAAATATTTGCTAAGTATAGGAACTTAAAACACACAAAAGAAAAGACAAAAGATTTTCTAAGGTATCGATCATACAAAACTGGGTTTCCATGCAACGATTTCAAATAATTTATTTGTGCATTTATATCGGGTGTTTAATTTCAAACGAAACGATTTGAATTAAATTGCTATTACGTTTACTTGATATACGAATTCGAAACATTGACGTAAATTGATTTATTTTCAATAAATAATTCGTATACTTATCTGATTATTATTGCATTTCTATGTACACATACACACACACACACACACACACNATTCATATTAATATATATATGTATGATTGAATCATGTTATAGGACAATGACATCCATTATTTATATACATATGTATATATATGTATATATAATTACATTTTTCTATATATATATATTTATTTATTTATTTAGAAAGTATTAGTACGATGTTAATATTCATATTAATATATATATGTATGATTGAATCATGTTATAGGACAATGACATCCATTATTTATATACATATGTATATATATGTATATATAATTATAATATTATATATATAAATGTAAATCTTTTGCAAGTGCATCGGCGTAACTATACCATAGTAAATTATACTTCTCAGACCTCCTAATAGACGTTTCCTGTGCATCACCGTAGAAAATTATTCGAAGTACATACGTGTTACACGTATATAAAAGCCCAACAAAAAAGAAAAGGGTCACGCAAATTTCAAGTGGAACTAACGAAATATTTTTGTACCTTTATAAAAATTGTTTATATTACCTTTTAATTCATTGTCACGTGGTTTTGCAACATTTCATTATAATTTTGGTATTTCATTCAAATCTAACAATTTTTATTATCAAACGTATTATTATTTATTATAATTCATGTAAAAATATTTTTTCTGTGTGTGTGTGTGTGTGTGCTGTGTGTTCTTTTTAAACAAACAAACATAAATGTTGGCTATTTTTATTTACTTAGCTTTTTTTTTTTTTTTTTATTCATCACTCATATTTTGTACATAGATTACATCGCAGTGAAATCGTTTTAGGTATTTATTTGCTTTTTTTTTTTTAATTACTTTTTTTTTGTTTTGTTTTTATCTGCTACATACACTTATACTTTATATTACTAATCGTTTTATCATAATTTCCATCTCTTTGGTTATTTAGCTTCGATCTTAACCCGTTATAATAATTTAATTAGACGATGCGTACTTGGATAACATCATTAACAGATGTTTGCTATGTTAAAATATATTAAACATCATTAATTTAATGAATTACTTTTAAATTCGTTCGTAGAACGCACTTTAAAAGATTCAATTCAGTCGACAGTTTGAATGATATTATTTATATAAAATAAATTATGAATTATGTTAAATAATACTTTCAAATTGTATGTTCATTAAGGTTTTTTAGTTTTTTTTTTTTTTATTAATTATCAAGATATCAATTACATTGATATTTTAATAATACGTTTAGTATTTTGGTATGAGGTAGTAGGTTCGTATACATGAAATCAGTCAATTTAATAAATAATCTTTCTTAAAAAAAAAAAAAAACAATATTATTATATTAGAACACTCATGTGTGTGATATTTAAACTATATTGGCAAGATATAAACATTAAGTTATAATCATATGATTATCTCATTTGTAATTATTATAACGCGTATCCAATGAATATATAACAAATTAAGAAAATGACAAGCCAAATTATAACCCTGTGTGTTCGATTTGATATAAATTAAATAATAAATAAATAAAATAAATTATTTTTTTGTCGAATTTTTCGTAACTTTTTTTTTATAAACAGTTACTGTAGGAACATTTTCAACAAAACTTCGTACAACCGAAGTCGGTGAAACGAACCATTTGTTAACTTCGAACAAATTTCCAGATTTGTTGTTGCTTGTTGTTGTAGTTGTAGTTGTAGTTGTAGTTGTTGTTACAAAAATAGTTCTATCATGTTTCGCATTATTCGTTTCTTTGTCTTTATCTTGAATTTTACAATTATTTTTATCTTTCATCTCATTTCTGAGATTACAATTTTTAATGGAAACCTTTTTGGTTTCTTTCGTATCAGAATTCGATGAATCAGAAGAATTGTCAACTTGTTTCGTTTTCTTCACAATTTTCTTCGTTTTATCCATTCCAAGATAATTTTTCAAGGTTGCAGATGATTCCTTGGTATTTTGTTTCACGTTAGAATTATTAACATCCATCGATTCAGAATCCAAAATTATTTTTCCACCAACCCCAAAATATTGAACTTTATCTTTCGATGATTTTGGTCCCAAAACAACGCGACCACCATCACCAGTGTATACAATGTCACCTGCATTATGTTTGACCTTGATTAAACATCCATCACCGACGACACGAACGCTTCCACAATTTTTGCTCATGGTTATTTTACAACCATCTCCTGTTACCTCGAGTATTCGATTATTGGAATCCATTTGTAGTAATAAACCATCACCTTTCAATCTTCTGATCCTTTCTCGATCTTCTTTCATTTTTACAACAACAACAAAATGATCTATATATATAAATATAAATATATATATATTTTATGATTTATTATAAATCGTGTTGTTTATAATCTTCACTGGAAGATATCAATGAATATTTGTAATTCTAATTGAAATCTTAATCTTTCAAACACTAACACACTTCCAATGTATTATATTTATCAATTGAATTAAAATAAAATGTTTATAGTTGACTATATAATAATATTATTATAATATTATTTGAATCTAGAATACCATCAATAGTATTCTAAATAAAGTTACGTAGAAAATTTTATTTCACTTTTATTGATGATGTATTTTGTGATCAATACTGTTGTAATCATCACAGCTCTTATATCTTCTATTGGAGAACACAAATTTGTATTATTATAGATCATTATTAATAGATCATTTAATAAAACTATATCACTATATTTATCACTATATATATATAACTTTAATCGATTAATATTATCGATCCGAATACTGTTGATTCTTTCGTTGATCTGTTGAAAATTCACAACGTTCACTGATATTTAAAACATTTCTCCCTCCCACCCATTTACAACGTCACAATCACCACCACCACCAATACAACTACTATCACCAGTTTACCAACACCAATATGAAACTCAAAAAAAGAAAAAACCCTTGGTCATTTTACTAGAAAAAAAAAAAATTTGTTTTATATATATATA